AAGAGTTATGCAAACACAAACTTGCTTTGTTGTTTCCACGTTTGGTTTAAGGAGACGCCAGTACCCTCGTTGGAAACAAACTCAAGTTAGACTTTTTTCTAAAAAAAGGAATGTGCAATCATGGAAAATGGCTATTTTGGTGAAGCACACATCAATTCCAGCTCCCATGCTCCTCCCCCTTTTCAGAAATCTGAAATAGAGGTTTTGCAATTCTTCTCATTCCCCCAAGTACTTCCACTTTCTGTACTTTGCCGGAGTGTCAAGAGATTATTCCAGCAGAAGAAACCTTTCTTCAGATAGGGCTGACCCAGTGCAGTACCCAGGGAAGGGCAAAGGCTTTGGTCAAAGTAGAGGAGTTGGAATTTCCCTGGGACATCCAGGAAGCCTGTGGCTTCAGTGAAGAAAGAAAAGGCTTTTCCTTAAAATGCAAAGGCAAGAGAGATCCAGAATAACTGTCACCATTGGAATAGCCTGTTTCTGTTCACCTTTCCTTCCTTCAAGTAATTGTCCTTTCTCTCTCCTGAAACTCCACTAGTTTCATCAAAACCCCAGAGTATTGTTTTGTCTTGGAAGTTGCTATTCCTTAGTAGCTTCTCTCTCTCTCTCTCTCTCTCTCTCTCTCTCTCTCTCTCTCCTTTTATTGATTCTTTGTGGATTTCACATCATACATACTGATTCTAGATCCCATTTACTTCCCTGTGCCCTTACTCCTCCTGCCCTGGCAACCTCCCCCACAAAACAAATTTAAAAGTAAATCCAAAAAAAAAAACAACAACAACAAAAAAACAGAACCCCCCTCCTCCTCCAAAAAAAAAAAAAAAGATCCTCAACAAAACAACCACACACACACACACACACACACACACACACAAGAAAAATCTCAGCATGGAAGCTGTAGTGTGGCCCAGTGAGTCACACAGTATACCCTTTAGTCCATACATCTTGTAAGTGTTCATTGCAGTGAACCAGCTGGGGCAGTCCTGGAGAGTTCACCTGGGTGGTGACGATGAGGGGGAGCTGGTGGTCTGACAACCCAGCTATCACCCAGGCTCAGAACCAGGGATATAAGTTAGCCCAATTCAACATAAACCTCATCTATAAACTGCTGGAGGGTCTGGGCCTACAGATCCAAAGCTTCAAGATTCCCCATGACACAAACAAACAATAGGATATTCAAGGAGTCCCAGTGAGGACCCAGTATTGATAGTGTAGCAGAAACCAGAGGCTTTGAACCAGACCAATGACCCATTACAATGAACACTTAGTCTGCCCTTTTATACTTTTGAAAGACAGTATACATTGTCAGTAATGACAAATCTTGATGATATAATAAGAATGTTTTGTCATTTTCAAGTCTGATTGTATCAAAGGGGACAATTCTGGTGATATGAATACACTGACAACCTTCTTCAGTGCTTGTCAATACACAGAAGCTGAAAATTCACCACACAGTGGACAGCACAGTTTACTATTGTGTCATATGTACCAAAACAAAGTTTAAAATTCGAAGTGAGTGTTTTTGCTCTTGGGTTAAGAAGGCTTGTGTAACATTAAGTATCCCAATGGAAAAAAATATGCATTTGGAACATTGATAAGGGCCAATTGTATCATTCTACATTCGAAACACTTCAGATCAGGGGTGGCTTTTACTAGATGTAATCATTTGGATAAAAAGTAAACTTAATGCTGAATTGCCAGGGTGTGAGTATTGCCACACTATTGCTATGTATTTCAGGCAAGTTTGTTAAAGAGATAAAAATCAAACCGTACTACATTTTACCTAACAAATCCTTTTCTTGCTCACCTCTTCCTGATACACTCATGGCCATTGCATAATTTATCTCAGTGTTTGGCATTTTATTCCTTATTCCTTACATAGCAAATGAGTTTTCCACTTTTCCATTTGGCATTAGGCTATTCCATTGCGGCTTTAACCAGGCTTCTACTGTTGACCGAGCTGCCCTCTCTCGTGTTTTTATTCAAAGTAGGCAATGCTAAAGTGAACATCTTTGCTGCAATTTAATTTTAACTTTCTGTGGGAAGTTTGTTAGAATAAATGGAGTGGTATTCCTGTGCCAAATTTCAAGGAATTTCTGGAAGGTGCGGGTTAGAGAAGTCAGGTGGAGGCACAGAGTTAAGTGCCTCAGAGTCTCCTGATGAGGATGTGGTGAGAGTCAGGACTCATGGGGATGTGTTACAGCATGCTGAAATCTCAGGGACAGGGTTCATGGATGCCTTCCTACAGTCAGTCCAAATGTTAGTATTCTCACTGCAAATGGACCTGTTCTACTGAGTGGCCTGGCTGCCACTTTCCTTCAGGGTTAGCTGTGGGTAGAGATGTAGGATTTGGAGAAAGTGATGGGGAGGAACTAAAAAGGCCAAATAGGGAGGTGTGGGTCACTCATGACAGAGGGACCAAGGTATCTTCATTTCTATCCTGCAGCCTGTAATGTTTTCCAAGTCTTTAGCCATAGCCTCAGGCAAAATCATGGCTGCTCTGTGTAAATAGGACCTTGGAAGCTGAAGCTGGTATCAGGTGTGCAGTCATCAAAATTGCTGAAAAGCCCCAGATTCCCACCTCTCTCCTCAGAGAAATTACTGTCATTTATTCACCTTTTCCATTTAGGCTAATGGCTTTTCACTAGTTTTGTCAAACTGCAATTAAATAACTTGGTAAATGTTGCCTTTGACGGAGAGTCTTTTCAAGAGAAACAGCATATTTCAGGAAAGGGAGAAAAGGGGATACAAGGCAGGCCACACTGTGAGAGTTCCGACTTTGTCATCAGCCTGTCCTCTGGGTGGACAGGTAATCCAGGAACTGCCAAGTTGGAAATCTGTTTCAGTCCGTGTAAATGTGAAACGCTTTGTTTACCAATTATTGTGTGCATTGCTTTGCCATCCACCCAGGCTCTACATCCTGAAGACCTTTAAGTTGGCCTGTTTCATTCTCTTGCCTGTCACTGTATTATGAATAATACCAGTGTCTATCCCCACCCACATGGCAAAAAATGTATGTCGGATTTAGTAACTAGCATGCCACACACATACACATAATACTTATTTGTACCATGTCATTCCTAAACATATTGTAGATGTTGAACAATGCTGTTGGGTCATGACATGTCATCACAGGTCTCTAGCTCTCCATCCTATCATTTTTCCAGACATTCCAGTCAAGAAAACACTCCAGCCAACCTTAATTAGAGCTTTCTCTGGAACCTAGAGATGACCACAGTGTGTTTCCAGCCACACTGCGGTATGTATGCGTTTGTAAAATGTATACATTCTCATGCTCTATTACTGCTTCTAAACCCACTTGAAGGCCTTGAGAAGTGCCCAGGGACTGTTTGGAAATGTTGTATTCTTGTTCTAGGCAAAATAATGGGATTAAAAAGTGATGAATGAGGAAGGCAGGGAGAAAGGATTTATAGTGCATGCTGCAAACAAAATGCAACTCACTGTGTTTTCTCCAAAAATCCCTTTGCCTTGGTGGCTAATCCATAAAAGTAAGCCATCATCTGGGAGGCTGGCTAGCACTCAGCCATGAATGAAGACAGAGTGGAGCAGAAAGAGGCCTGCAGAAGGAGGTAATCTCCAAGTAAAGGGAAGGGAAGGGATTGGAATGAGAATACAGGAGGTCAGGAACTGGTGTAATCAATGGGAAGATTGGGTTTATGGAAATCACTGTGTTTCATGTAAAATCAGCTCTCACAATAGCCAAAATAGTATTGTGTTCATTTTGTGTGTGTGTGTAGAAACATCCCACTCATTTAGACTAAGGGTATACTCCAGTTGATAACTGGTGTGACGTCATGCAGCAAGCGGATAGTACAGCTGGAACCAGGACTCTGAAATTCAGGAATGCTGTCTCATGAGACTTGCTTCTTTCCTGCTTCATGGAGAACATGAAAGTTAGAATTCCAATATTCTTCAAAGTGATACAGGTCAGGCCTGGGGTCATTTGATCACAGGACTAGGAGAAATAGAGCCAAGATGGAACAAACTTTTCCTTGCTGGCCTTGGACCAGTCAATGGTCCACAGATCCTCCCCATTTACCTGAATATATTTGTTTGTAGAATACTTGAGCTCTGATTAGTTGCCAGACTTTCTGTAAGTGCTACACACATGGGGGTTCTCCATGCCCCAAATCTGGGTTCAGGGGAGACATGAGAGCAAACATCCTACCACTCTTTTCATCACCGTTGACCTGACCATAATTTCCTCTGCTTATCTGTCTTTTGACACCAATTGAATACATGCAATAAAGTAAATTGATTCATAACTCTTGGTTACTAATTTTTATTTATCCTAAAATGATATTGGCTTGGTGTAGGGGAATATTATTTTAAGGCATGTTTCCTTTGTTTATGTGGCATTTGTTTAACTCTGTGAAGTTGTACTACTTAGCCTGTCTAAAACACCCCATGGTCTAATAAAGAGCCGATTGGCCAATAGCAAGGTAGGAAAGAAGAATAGGCAGGGCTGACAGACAGACAGGATAAATATGAGGAGAAATCTGGGATCTAAGATCTGGAAATGAGAGGAAGGAGGAAGACTTCAGGTGCCAGCCACACAGCCACACAGCCAGACATGGAGTAAGAAGGCAAGAAAGGTAAACAGGAATAGAGAAGGATAAAAACCCCATGAACAAAGATAGATGGGATAATTTGAGTTAAGAAAAGCTGGCAAGAAACAAAGCTAAGGGCAGGCATTCATAACTAAGAATAAGCCTCCGTGTGTGATTTATTTGGGAGCTGGGTGATAGGCTCCCCCAAAAGTCATAAGAATAAAAAGCCAAAAGAGTAAACCATTGCACAACAGTTTGGGAACTTTGATTAATTCATCTACCTCAAGCTGAATCCCATGGAATCTGCAGGAGCATAATAAAGTATTTTCTACTGAAAATACCTTGCATTTGTGGTCACAGTCTGCATTTCCAAGGACTCCTCACAAGCAGCTACTATTTTTAACAGTATCTCCTTTTATTTTCCTTTCCCAGAGTCGAAAACATGCAAGCAAAGTCCGACTATATTACATGCTTCACCCCAGGGATGGTGGGTGCCCTGCCAAGAGGCTCCGAGCAGAAAATGTGAGTATGTGGTACCACATGATATCATGGGTGATTTGCTACGAATTTTGTAGGTGTAAGAATTGTAGGTGTGTCTATCTGAGTGCCAAAGCGAAAAGAATAGAGGTAATGATCATTTATAGGCTGTGTTACAGAGGGGGCAGACTCCTGTCTATTGGTGTGATTTTCCTTTTTTACCAGAACTTGTTCATACCCTCAGGCTTTTGATGATGTTTCTCTGGAGCCCTTCAGAGAAAGAAGGTGCAGAGGTGCTGGGACAGAACCAGCGTGGGTGACAGGAAGACAGAGCCACCAAAGACAAAATGTGGGAAGACAAGAAGACCTACAGGGCAAAATTGTCAGAAATACCAAGTGCTTTGTTCTTTACATATTTGATTTCTCTGCTGTGTAGAATGGAATGTCAGCTTGTTAATTTATAATGAAGACTGTACATTTCTTCTGCAAAGAGACATACTCGGGCTTTTTGATCAGTGACCCCCTCTCCCTGCGGGAGAATTTACTTGGGAAGACAATGAAAGTTGGGAAGTTGTTTGAGGTATAATGTCAGAGCACTGGGTTCATTCTAGCCAGGCTTTGTTCTTGGCAGGGACTTCAATGTGGGACATCCTCATCCTCTAGCTACAGAGGTCCTGCATGCTAACACTTAACATTAAACACATTAAACATTGGGTTCTGAGAGGCTTTGGTACCGAATTGGTACCTTGTGTTATCAGTTTGTAGCCATTTATCTTCTTTTTAATATATGATCATTGAAAAAATATTGCCAAACATGGACTTTGGGGGGTGGTGGTTTGGGGGAAGGAAATAGAGCATCAAGAAACTGCTTTTGCCTGAAGGTGGAGAGTCCTTGGATTGTCCCCTCACACCAATTACATGTATGCACTTAGCATTGTAGCTTGATCTGATTGCCGATAGACTGACCTATACACTACAGTTGTCATCACTGCCAGACAAGGCAGTGTTTGAAGAAAAAACACAAAACAAAAACAAAAACAAAAAATCAGTGGCATGGAAAGTTTGCAAACCGTCAAAACCCAGAACCAAGTCTGCATTTCACTTTGGCATCTGACACAAGTAATTGATCTTGTGTTGCCTCTGTGGAACACTAGTAAATTATACTTTCCTCACTAGGTTTTGTGACTATTACATGAAACAGTGAACACGATGTACATTGGCAATGTGGTGTAATGAAGAAACAAGTAGACGAGGCAGAAGTGCTGGCAAGAAAGTTGGGAGAGTAGTAAGAGCTTAGTGATGCATAAGGATTGACTTTGATAACACAATGCATTGTTGAGCAGTGTTCAAAAAGAACCACAGAGGCAAAATGTAGGGGATAGGGGAATCCTGCAAAAAGGCCCCACTCATGGAAACTGGTTGCTGAAGGGCTTGTGTTTGCTGGGCTCTAGGATATGAGCGGAGTTTATCTGATGGAGAGGGCCATGCAGGAGGCAGGGAAAGGATGCCAGCATCCTGGCTGCATGTCAGTCAAAATGTCTTGCTAAGCCACAGATGAGTTAGCCTTATGCAACTTTTGCAGGACCTCAGAATCCTGTTCCTACATGGAAATCATACCTTCTACTGATGAACAGCTAGTGTAGAACTGTTTGTATTTCCCCAAATGACCCAGTAGTGGTACCTGGATCCTTTCTCGGGAGTCAAGAATGCTTTAATCTCACAGTTAGAGATGACAAACTTCAGGCCTACTGGATAACTAGCTATTTGGACATATATTATATATGAATGTTGAACTTGTTTGTGAGCATCTTGGCCTCTAAGGGCTAGAAACTGAAAAGGAATGGGCCTCAGACTGACTTTGTATTTGTAGGCTGGAGGACATGGCCTTTGTGTCTTTGAGACGATCTACGATTTGCCTCATGTGGGCTCTGTTCTGGCCAATAACCTTGAACACAGTTCATAGAAGGGGAGACATTTGGATTTTAGAACAAGGAGAATTTTCAAGGCTTCTTTACTTAATACCCCCTTGAAAACATCCCCTCTATGCATGCTGGGTTCTGGAAAGTTTTATCTACCAATGATTTATTATTTATCAAATCATTTTCCATAACTTATTAATCATGCTATAAAAGAAAATCATGAACAGAAAGGCAGCAAGCTAACTCTGCTTTAGGTGAAGACACTGTTGGTGAATTTGTTACCCCCATGTGTACAGTTCTCAGTAAAATGCCATTTCCACTATGCATTCTGATGTGCTGGGTAGAGCTCAGAAACTATTTCAGCTTCTGTCTGGGCCTCTGAAGGCATGTGCTGTATCAGGAGTAACTTGTATTGTGCAGACTCACACTGACAAAGCAAGAGAATGAACATACCATGTTCAATGACCAATCCATATAGAAAAGGAGAAGACTGACTCCCAACCAGGAGTATTTAGTCCAGCCAAGGAGAACAATCTGCTGTAAGTCATACTTAGATGATGGCGGATTGCTCTTTCTGAAAACAGTCCAAGAAGCCCTGCATTAACTCTATAATAAGAGGCACCCAGCTGTACTGTTCTTGATCAGCGACACCATCCCTAATCTTTATCCCTTGCTGCCGGTTTTGGACCAAGCAGAGAATGGTAGGCATGCACCCGGAACAGTGGCACAGGGTGCTTTGCCTCTTGCTGGCCCTTCCCCAACTTCCCCCACAGCAACCTATAATCAGGGCACAAATGCCTGAAGGCTTCATTGTTTCCTATGAAGAAGCCTCCTTCTCTTCCTGCCTTAGAGTCTCCCTTAAACCCGAGTGATGGTGGCTGGCTCAGGGGTATATCAAATGCCATATAACTAGCTTTTGCACTTAGTAGAGGATCCCTGCTTGTTTCCACAGGGCTGTAACACAAGGATAAGAGCAGCTTCAAACTCACAGCTTTATATGGGATGTCACTCATGTTTGCTTAGCGCTTTGTTTTCACACTTTACTGCTGGCCATCTCTCTGCCAGCAACCTGGCTCCCTGAGGGATCCACAGCTCTTTTGACTTCGGTTTTCCTTCTAGCCTCCCTGATTCCTAGTGCTGTGGTATGTTTGTAACCAGAGTCTAGGACTGAGATGCGCTTCTGCATCTCCTACTTAACTCCAGGAGAGGGGTGGCTTTTGAAAACAGAAAGCAGGTTCCTGAATTTCCCCAGGCTCCTTGTGCATGTCCCTTCTACCCTACTCGCTGCTCTAAGAGGATATGTGGTACCCCTATGTTTTAAAACCCTCCATCCATCTCTGTCTCCAGTTTTAGCATTTCTGACTTCCTAAAATCCCCTTCATATACCTGTTCTTAAGACTCTGCAGCTGGAGCTTCTGTCCCACCCTCCCCCCATGCCCTCCCTCCCCCATCCCTCCAAATGTTGAGCAGGACATTTTCCTTTGAGGCCAAAGAGTAAAATCAAATATGAAATCAATTTTTATAGCTGATTGTCTCAAAGATATTTTCAGTAATTCTCGACATGCTCGAATCAGATGGACTTGAGAGATGCACTAGCCCACACTGGCTCTGCCTCGCACCACTGGCCTTCTCATTATCTTCTCCCCATGGATCACATGCTTTGCAAACATCTATTTAGGAAATAGCACTTTAAGGAAAACTGGGGTTTAGATTTTGTTGCTTTTGATTCTCGAAAGGCATAAACGTCTGCCAATCAAAGTTGCCAATCACTACTAAGTAAACAACACATTTTTATATAGTTGTTGTATAATTCCCTGTAAAGGGTGAAGCTTGTGTTTGTTTAGTGTGATGAGGATGCATGGATACACTTTGAGGTCTGAAACTTGCAGCATGGCTTGAGGTCCTTCAGATCCCAGCCAACTTGGAATCCAGGTGGAAGTTGAGTCTAGACTTTTCTTATTACTGAGGTCAAAATAAGAATGAAGACACACACACACACACACACACACACACACACACACACACACGCATGCCACAACTGAGCTTGTCACACTACTTCTTTTACTCCTGTCCCTGATATGTCTCAGCGCTCTGACCTTTGGCATTGATGCTGAGTCCTGGTCTAGAACAATGTTACTGGCACTTAGTGTTTTCTAAGCAAGTGACACACTTTAGTAGTGTTCACCCTCAACTTCTGTGTAAGGTAGAGACAGGCATTATCTGTCCACAAAGAGACTGAATGACTTGACTCCCCTCAGACAGCTGGTAAATGACAGAGACATGTCTGGGAAAACAGAAAACAAAATCAAAGAAAGCTCTTTTCCCTGGGTGTGTTCCCTAGCTTTCCTATGCTACTTCAGTAGATAGCTTGCATGCCTCCCTAAGTGCTGGAAGACACTAGATCCTCCCTCATTCCAAACGAGTAGGGAAGTTCTGTTTGTAATCTGTCTTATCACAATGTTCTCTATGCTTCTGTAGAGTGACTGAGCATGGGGGAGGGTGTTCCCAGTTGCCCCTGGTAGGTTAGGTTGAGGCTTGGCTTTCTAAGCATGATGGCCCCTTGCTAATTCTTATGAACCAATGAGAAAAGCGGAGAGGGCTTCTGTGAGTGTGGGGTCAATATGAGCCATAGCATTAGGGAGACAGGACAGAAGCCCAAGGTATTTCTAGCAAGGATAGCACTCTGGGCAGTGGTCAGTTTCAGATTTCCAGGAGAGAAGAAGATAAAATGACTTGAAATCCTCCCTCCAAAGACTAGGGGAGCCTGCTACTTACCTCCCTCCCATCTGTGGTGGCTGCTGCAATCCCTGATTCATAACCTGGTTCTTTCTCTGTACTTTTAGCTTCTAGAAGGATCTCAAGAGAGGGGATTTAATAGTGCTGTTTAAATCCCATTTCCAAGTAAGAGCTCATGTCTAAAAGGTCACCAATATGGAGGTGAGATTATTCATCAAATACAACATTAGAAACAAAAGTCTGGGTTAGAAACTGAATGTGGTGGCATGTGCCTATTGTCATAGCACTTAGGAGCTGGAGGCAGGAGGATAGGAGTTCAGGCTCATCCTTGGGGGGGTTTACATAGGGGGTTTGAAGATAGTGAGAGAGGAGAGGGGAGAGAGGGGAAAG